CCTACTTCCATGTCGTTTTCTAAGAAATCATTTGGACCGCCGCATTCTTTGTGTTTCCAGAGCTGCGTCCTTCTGCCTGTCATGTCACCAAAAGGACGTCTGAGCAGGAGGGGAGGCCATTGTTTCAGATTGGAGCTGCCTAAACGCTTTTTTTTCTCTCCTCCCTCCTTCTTTTTTTTCGCGGCCACCCTCGGGGCGGAGGAAACGCATTAACAAACACAGCTGCCTCTGACACACATCCACACCAGGCGACACACAGGGAGAAAGAGAGAGTGAGACGGGTCCATAGTTGTCACAAGATCTGTGGGTTTCTCTTTTTTTTTTTTTTTTCCTCCTCTTCCTCCCTCCACTGCTGCTGCCAATCATCTCCAAGAATAAGCCATCTGTTTCTGATCCTGGGCCAATCAGATCAGAGACCGGAGCCCATTGGCCGACGGGAGGAGCTGCGATTCCTGTGACCAATTGCAAACACCTGCAGTGACAGCAGACCTTCACTGTCTTCTCTCTCCCACAGCCAGCACACATGCATTCACACACTCTGGCCCATTTTCATCTCGCTGCTCTGTCACTTCTCCCCCATTTGTCCTCTTTCACTCCCCCCTCTCTCTCTCCCATCCATTCCCATCCTTCTATCCACCCTCCTCTCTCTCCTTTTTTTGTTTTTTTTTATTAAACAGATGTTGCCTTAGGTATTATTTATGTTACACAAACCAAATAAACAGGAGACATTCATTTTTTTTTTTTTGAAAACTGCTAAAATAATGTGTATTACTGAGCAGCGTGTGGGGAATCGCTCAAACAAAAATGAGATTCTGTTTTTTTTTTTCTTTTTTAGAAGTGAGTGTTTAATACTTAGGCCTTGATACAGTGATTTTGTTTAGATAAACAATGTTCTTTACATTTACCATTTGAATACTCGGTCTGTTTTTATCGTGATCATGACACTTCTTGACGCCAGGCCTTGGATTAACTTGTAGTCGAAAACGAAAAAAATCCATTCAGATACACGTGTATTTTTTGGTGCGATTGCTTTTTGCCTTTCCCGGTGGTGTTTCCAAATCTGCAGTTTTCTCTCTTTTTTGTTGTTTTTTTTTTCCCGGAGATGTTCTGATTGGTCGGATCGCACCAGGCAAAGCTCAATCAGTAGCTGAATTTGAGTGGATTTTCATTTCTAAATCCAGGTTTGGATTATACCTTCTTAGACTGTTATTGAGAAGTCTGTTTTTTTACTGTTGGGGAAAATTGCAAAAAAATAAAAGAAGAAAAAAAAAAAGGTATATATACTGATTATTATCATTGAGGCTAAATACAAGAGCTAAACCATGCAGATTGGTGGAGTGGTGGTGTTTTTTTTGGACAATGATTAGATCAAACCAACCAACAAATGTAGCAATATCAACAACAGGTCTTGTTTTTGCCCAATTTTGTTACACTTTTATGCAACTTTAATAAAAACATGTAAAATGGACGTGTTTGTTTGCTCCTTTTCAGTTGCACATACATGACTGTAAATGCTAGTTTTTTGTATGAATACGTCTTTGATAAATCATTTTGACACGACTTCATGAATTGCATTCAGGTCAAGCTTTGACGGTAATCAACATTTGAGGAAACTGTTGTGGCTAAATGATACCTTATTAGTACCACACAGGCGCTTTTCTGCCAACACATGTCAAAATGTCTGCTGTGAAAAAGCCCTTTTGTCCACATGATTTTCTCCACTATGAGCCTGGCCATTCCCTTATTCTGTATCACTTTGGTTCCATCTTGTGGTTCATTACAGTAGGACAGCTGTATGTTCCACTACAGAAGGAGGGAAGGTGAATTCTATTGTGTGCTGTTTGCAGGGTGATGATTCTTATCAGGAGTTGATGGAGAAGTTTGATCCTTTCCTGATGTTTGGGGTTTAATCACAGTATCACACCATAGACCCTTGAATCAAAGTGTCTTACAAAGGGAACATTAACACCTGCTTTTTTTTAACTGGCATGACCAGGATTACGTAGAGTAGTGGGGAAAGCAGCTGAACAATGTTGTTCGTGTAGGAACAATGATTAAATATACATTAAAAAAGAAAACAAATGATTTAGGCTTCACAATGTGCTCCATACTATGCTGGATTATGTTTTGAGTTACATGATCAGGTCAACTATCTGAAAAAAAATCTGCTGTTACAGATTATTTTTCTTAATGTATCAGCAAAAATCTCTTTTATTTTGTTTTGGTTTATACTGAGAGTTTTCATAGTTATATGTTTTTTTGCTGATTGTGTGCAACAACCAAGGTGCTTTCCAAACGAGAATTAAGACTGATGCCATGAATTTAAGGTTTAATATTATGACTAAGACTCTACAATATTATTTATTACCAGATTATTATTTACCAGACTAATGTAAATATTAAGGTCAACAACTCACAGTGTTTTTTATGTTACAATATTACCAGATTAATTTAAATATTATGGTTCAGACTTAACATTATTACATATTTATATATTTTACTAACCGATTTAAATACTAAGACCTTGAAACATAATTTATTTTATTATTTTTTATCTGACTGACACCACAATATTATATTATATTATATTATATTATATTATATTATATTATATTATATATTTCAACAAAGTGGATTGTGATTGGCTGACTGAACCGGTGGCAGCCTTTTGATTGGACGGGTGACTAGCGGGATGGCGGCTCCCATTGGCCACCTCGGGAGCAGGTCCCGGACGCTGATTGGCTGAGTTTACGGATTGTAGAGTCCGGCAAAGTGTCGAACTGAAGAAGCCTGAAGCGAAGAGGAAGTACTTTTTAAAATGGGAATACGGTGAATCGTGCTCCAAGTTAGCGCCGCTGAACGAAGGCACACGGTGAGCGGACTTTTCTCTCCTCGGACCTGCGCACTGAAGCTGCGCCGTTGTTTTGTTTACAAAGTGCTTCGGCCGCCCGCGTTCAGCGATAACGTTGTTTGTTAATCCGTGTGCGGTGGAGGGGAGATGGGCTCAGTGAGAGAGGCGCTCCGGCGCTGCTGTGGTGTGTTTTAGCCGCCGGTTGTGTTGTTTCCTACCAAACCGTGGCCACATTAGTGTAAACTAGCTGTCAGAGAGATAAGTTGAGCCGTGAGACGGTCAGAGCGACGAGCAGCCCGGCGGTCCGTGGCTGTGCGCGGCTTCAATTGTTAGCTTGTATTACACTTGACTTCACGGTGCTGTGTTCAACGCTGGTTTGGACAGAAACATGCAACAGCGAGTCTCTGTTAGTTTTGGGAGGCTTTGTAAGTGAATTAATGTACAGTATAACAGGCTTTAGAGTGATTTGGGCTCTTTATTTTAGCCTGGATGTCGCCGTCGGACTCCTGCCGTTGACCATTTTACTGTATGACATCACTGAAGCTGCCAAAAGTCAAGCCAGACACACTGCAGTGGAACTTCCGGTTCGGTATAACAATAAAATACGTGTTTACAGACAATCCCAAATGTTAGAGGGAAATAAATGAGATATTTCAATCCTAATTATTTTAAGGCATTTTCTAATGTAGGCTAATTCAGGAAATTAGGCTATTTTGCTTGCCAGATTTTTAAATTTCGTCATTAAAATCCGAGTAACTTCCGGTCCGGTGATGTGTTTTTGCAGCTAACTTGACAGATTATGGGCGCCACACGGTAGCTCGGTGTCCCGGTTCAATCCAACGCTGCTCGTCTGAGCTGCACCGGAGCTTTACTTTACTGTTAACCACGCACATGGCTCTGATTTACCGAGCTGTGCTGTTTATTTTTAATTTTTACACGAAAAAGAGTGAATTTGTTTCGCAATGAATGCATGTAAGATCTTCTTTTTGCATAACATTGTAACTGTGATGTGAGTGTACATGTGTTGCTTCCTGCTCAGTGTGTGGATGTGACAATTAGCTTCTTTTAAAGTATCATTTGTTTAGTTTACATTTTATTTAAGTGCAGTTTTATTATGAAAAATCTTAGATATTCATATAATTTATTAGATTATGTAAATATGGACAAAATAAATGACAGAACAGTTTGCAGTAAAAAAAAAAATAATATTGTGATTATTTGACAGATATGGCACAACATGATTAGATTTTTATTTTATTTTATTTTATTTTTTGCAGCGGCCTGAAACAAACAGGCAAGTTTCCCTACATAAGAATTCTAATAATATTAATAATAGTAAATGTAATGTGTACGCTCTTGTTAAGTGCTTTGGCAGTCAAAACAAACAGGATACCCAAAAAGCAACATAACAACAAGACACCAGACAGTAAGAGGAATGTGGAATTTGCACTAATGTACATCTACCTTTTCTACTCTGATGTGTAAATTCTTGTACATATATTGTCTTATTATCTTGTTTTATTTTTTATTAATTTTTATTGTATCTTGTTCTTTTCTTTCTGTAGTTATTTTACTTTATTTTATTTTGTAAATTTTCCTATTTCTATTATTCGCGCAAATTCCAAGAGCGACACCAACAGCTGAAACCAAATTCCTTGCATGTTGTGTACGTACTTGGCCATTAAAGCTGATTCTGATTCTGAAACAAAGCTAACCAAAATTCAGATAAAGTTAAGAAAAAACAAGAAATAAACAGCTGCAGAAGCACAAAATGAAACGTTTATATATTAATAAATACAAATAAAGTTATGAAAGTGCTCTAGTAAACCTTAAAAACAAGCTTAATGTGCAATAAAGTGTCAACAACACACAAAAGCAAGTCTATAAAAATACATTTGAAGGAGCTGAAGGTGAGAGAGGACAGTGCTTCATTTGTAATTGTATGTTCTGATGCTTTATAGTTTCATTTTTTTAAAATAATAGCTTCTTGCGCTGTGCTAAGAATGGCTGGTTTTAGTTAAATTCCTCACAAATCCAGATATTTTAGTGTAAAATCATGTAAAAATACTCCTGATGTTCAGCTGCCTGTCAGTTCTGTGGTTCAAACACTCACCTGACTGACTTTAGACAAGCTCACGGTTTTCATGAGATGGTTTATATTCTTATGATTTCGTTGTGGGTTCGTTTTTGATTCTTCAGCCTCCGCCCAGACTCTTTGTGTTCAACTTTACACCGTTGTGTTTGCAGCCTGCCATGCCCGCCCAACCCCCTGTGAGGGAGCCGGAGGAGGAGATGGAGGCCGAAGGAGAGTCGCAGCTCCCTGAAGCCAACGGAGAGGTGGAGGAACCGAGGGAGAACGAAGGCAGAGGAGGCGAGGAGACCATGGAGGAGAGCATGGAGGAGAGGGAGAGCGACCTGGAGGAGAGCGAGGACGAAGAAGAGGAGGAGGAGGAAGAGGAGAGCTCAGGTAAAAGTCCAGCTGCTCTGCTAACCAGTTTACTGCAAGCAACAGGAAATAAATCTCTGATGTTAACTGTTTTGGTGCTTTTTGTTTGTGTCCATGTGAAGAGATGGACGATGAAGACTGCGAGCGGAGGAGAGGAGAATGTCTGGACGAGATGCTGGATCTGGAGAAGCAGTTCCAGGAGCTGAAAGAGAAGTAACTCAGACTCTTGTTTTTATTCATCCCACTGCTTTGGTCTGAAGTCATGTCAGTCACGTTAGGAGTGAAAGAAGGATAAAATGTCGTGACTGTGTGATCGCAGGTTGTTTCGGGAGCGACTGAACCAGGTGAAGGTGAAGCTGGACGAGGTGCTGACGGGGAAAGCTGGAGAATACAGAGAACCACTGGCTGCACTGCAGAGCAGCATGCAGATACGAACACAAGTCGCTGGTAAAGAAAACTCACTCCCTCGTGTTTTTTGCTTCAAGTTAAGTGTTCAGATTCAAGTTTACAAGTGGAAAATTGTCGCCTAGAAATCCTTCTAATAACTTCCAGATGTCATACAGATCAAATGAATAAGTTAACAACATACAATCATGTGAAAGGATGAGTACAGAAATTCAAATATTTGAAAAAGCAAACATCTATCCTCTTTGAAACACTTCCTACAGATAACAGTGATATACTCCAACAAACTCAACAAAAATCAGACATTTTGCAGTCGTTTTCATTATTTAAATACATAAAAAGCAGATCAGTCACATGAAAAAAAGTACGTAGCCTTCAAATCCATAAAATGAGAGTCAGGGGAACCAGATTAGGTGATTAGACCCTGTGTGGTGACATAAAGCCAAGATCTAAAGAGGTCCCTACCAGCTTCAAAAAAAAGGGGCTTGTGGAAGCCTTTGAGTCTGGCAAAGGGGATTAAAAAGATCTCCTAGTAACGTGAAATGAATCATTCCACCGTAAAGAGAGTCATCTGCCGGTGGGGCAGATTTCAGAGGACTGTCAGTGTGTTCAGGACCTCAGCAGCTACAATCAGTAAGAAGCTGCACAAATCTGACCTGCACGGGAGGCGTATCTGGAAAAAAGCCTTTGATGTGCAAAAAAAAAAGCATTAGAGCAAAACTACATTTTGCTAATAAGTTGAATAACAGTAGATGTGACTGGTGCAGACCAAAGAAGAAGAACAACCGTCTACCAGCTGGTGGTGGAAATGTTTAAGGTTTCTTTGCAGCCTGCAGTCACAGATTCAAATATGAATAATGTGAGGTCATCTGTCTAAAAGTTGAACCAGAAGCAGGCCTTTCAACAGGTTGATGATCCAGAGAGTGTGAGCAAACCTACGGAGGAGGTTTAGAAAGAAGAAATATAGCATTACACTATGGCTGATTCAAAGCACAGACTTTAATCCAAGGGTGTAGCTACATCTGGTACATCCATTGATATTGATTAAAAAAGCTCATTTTCATTGTATCACCTTTATCTGTAGCCACTGTTCAGGATGTTCAATATTGTGGAGGCATTTTTCCCCCCGTTATATTTACTTTCCATCTTCTTTCAGTAATTATTTAATAACAAGATTGACAACACGCCTCAGTGTGATGATAAAGGATGACTTCTACCTGTAGTGACGTACAGTACGCCTCCTGTCTGCATGCCCAGATGTTCCTGACATCAGAAGAAGCTGTAAAGAAAGGAGACGTTACATTTAGCAAAGCTCTGCCTTGGTATCAGTTAGTGGTGCCAGGTCCAGATAACACAATGTTTGTGTTATAAGCTGGTCACTGTGTCAGATTAGGCCAGTGTAGAGTCATAGGTTCTTGCTGTGATGTCAACAGAAAGAAGAATGTAGAAAAGAAAAAGTGTTCTAATTGGGGGTAAAAGCTTCTTTGCATTGGTTTTTGTTACATATAATACACCACAAGAGATAAAATAATCAGTTGTCAGTCCTGGTGCCTCACGTCTTTCTGCTCAGACTGTTTTCAATATCTTCTAGTCTGAGCTGTGACATGAAGAAGTCACAGCTGACAGACACTAACAAGTGTCTCAGTACTGGACTGAGGCAAAACCTGAAACTTCCTGCTGATGCATTTGTCATGTTGTTCCTCCTCTTGCCACTGGGTGGAGTTGTTCACCCAGCATGCATCTCTCTATCAGGGAGCCAGACTGTTGATGCTGCTCCATCTGAACTCTCTCCTTATTTAAAACCATAGGTTGGAGTGTGGCTATAGATTTTTATGTGTGGAGAGCGCTGACACGTGCTAAAGTGGTGTCCAGCTGAGGCGTCCGGGGAGAGCTGAATCGTAGGTGCACTCCTCGCGTTGAAGTGGTTTTTTAAAAGGCTCAGACTTAATGACACCTCAACAGCAGCCAGACGGTGTCAGCTAATGGTCTAGCAGCGCACGTAATGCATGTAATTAATAATTAAAATGGCCTTCCAACAGTTTGAACCCTCCAGGACCTTTTTTTCTGCCTGGTCAGTGTTTGGATGGGATTGATGGTGTCTGTCTGCTGCTGCTGCTGAAAAGTGAAGTCTGGTTGTCTGTGTGTGTGTCTGCAGGAGTGTACAGAGAGCTGTGTCTGCAGGTCATCAAACACAAGCACGAGTGTGAAGTACAAGGAGCCAGGCAGCACCTGGAGGTAAAGCCGTCACGTGGGTTTATGTGATAAAGGTCATGGAAGTGACAAAATTAGAAAAAGATTTTAGAAATATGCTTTATGTTGGTTGGAGGTTTTTCACTTTTTCAAAAGACACACAGTTCAAACCAGAAGTTTACATACACTGTATAAAAAGACTTGTTTTTTTTCTCACTGTCTGACATTAAATCAGAAATAATTTTGTTTATCCTAACTGACCTAAAACAGGAAAGTTTAGTCTATTTGCTAGACACCAGAATAATGAGAGAGAGAATTTATTTATTGATTGTTTAGTGATTGCAAATTATCTGGTTTTGCCATTTTCTTCTCCTCTGTTTTTTCCAGCTGTTTGTAATGTCATTCATTTGATCCAAAGCACTGAGTGGAAATGAGGCTAATTCATGTTTTCTTTATTCTATTTTGGGAGGAAATTTGCTTGAAATGAACACGTCTATAAATACTCTGTAAAGTGTGCTGATGCCTTTTGAACCAGTGTTGTCGAACAAAGTGATCACTCCACGCTGGTGTTGCAGAGTGAGCGGACGCTGCTGTTTGATGCCATGAAGTCGGAGCTGCTGGAGAAGATCAGGAGACTGGAGGAGGACCGACAGAATATAGACCTCACCTCCGGTAATCACAGAGACGCCACTAAATATTGTTGTTACATAATCTTGTTAATATAGGGGGGAAAAATAATATTGAATGTAGCAGCTAAGCCTAAACTTAAAGCCACTAAAGGACGCATGGTCTAGTTTAATAAAAGAGTCCAAAAATATGCTTCTGGATTTTGATAGATTTATCGCTCACTGTTAATGATCTACTGATTGAATGTAATAATCCATGACAGTTGTCCATTACCCTCCAGACAGTCAAACATCCAACTAGGGATGATGTTAATGATTAATCAATACAAAATTAACTGACAAGGTAGAAAACAAATGAAGGGTGCTTGAGATCAGCTGTAGTACCTGGTTGTACCACCAGGTGGACCCTGTTGCTGTTTGTTCAGATGGATGACTGCATCCCATTTGCTGTGTTTAATACTGTAGCGACCCAAGGAGACGGATGCTCAGACTACAGGCAGTTCGGTTTTGGGCAGCAGAGAGCATTGTGGGGGTTTAGCTAGCTAAAGGCACCATGACAACGACTTTTGTGGTGCTTAATGACTTCTGGCCAGAGCTTAGTGTGTTACTTGGCTACATCTGTATTTGGATATGTCATGCAAAATGCGTGTATTTGTAGCCTTAACATACTAACCTAACAAATACTGTGTTTGATCGTGTCTCATGCTAGCAGTTTCCCCACTGAACCGCAGATTCATGCTAAACAAACCTGCATGACATGCAGAAGTCCATATTGGCACCATCGTGTTGGATTATTTTGATTCTTTCAGAAACCAGCCAACCAAACCAGAGAGAAGTTTGACAGCGTACAGTACATTTAACAAGTTTGTTCTGTATTTTCTCCTTCCAGAGTGGAGCGATGAGATGAGGGGCAAGAAGTGTAAAAGAAAGAACCTGCTGGGTCGCTCGGAGAGAAGAAAGAAAGTCGCTCTAGTTTCAGGTAAAGCCGTGATGTGTGGTGATATAATGTGCCTGGTAGTGGCTGATAAACGTGATGATTTAACGACGCTACCTCTGTGCCGCAGGGCCTTTCATCGTCTACATGCTGAGAGACATCGACATCCTTGAAGACTGGACCGCCATCAAGAAGGTAATGAAGCACTAGTTTAGTTTCCCGTCAAGCAAATAGACTCCTGGGTGCCACCGCAGATCTTTGAAGATATGTTGTAGGCTTTGTTTTGTGATTCTGTGATGTGTCTTCCAGGCGAAAGCAGCGCTGTCACCACTAAAAAAGAAAGTTGAAAGTAAGCCTCCTTCTAGCGTTCACTGTTCAAACAGCAGACGGCAAAAAGGTTTCGTCTCTAACTCGTCTCTCTTTTGTCTTGCAGAGCGATGATGGCAGGAGGAATCCAGCAGCGAAGACACCAAACTAAACCCACACACTCACATTCCCAGCTCCTTCCACTAACAGTTTGATCTCCTCCACTCAAACCCAGCAGACTGTCGACTCGTTTTTTTTCTGCGCCTTTGACCCCCAGCTGCCAACCACCCTACTGCTTGTTTGTTATCTATTGCTATTTAAAAATGCGTTCTTAATGATATGACAACCATGTATTTATAGAATGATTTATAATGCTGAATAAAGTTTAAATCTTTTACGACACAAGCTCTCTGTTTGGATCGTTTGTCGGTGATCGAATTTGTTTTTGTGAGAGGAATCAGTGAAACAAACCTCTCAGTGAAGTTGTTTAGGACACTCTGTGGCTTTTAGGGCAGTAGCTGGTAAATAAGTAGACCTCGAACACCAGACCTTTTATTTTTTAATTCTGTGTTTACTGTGATTTCTTTGTGCTTAAACACCAGAAATTAAGTCCAGCTAAAGGTGCAAAAACAACCTCATCTTTTCCTACTGGAACCCTTCGATCTCTGGCTTTAAGATCAGCCACACTAATTACATCTGTAGGGTTTTTTTTCATGGGAACATTGTGTATTTTCAACTCTGCTTGCAAAATTTTCCCAGCAATAGTTACAGCTGTGGATTTCTTCTTCTCTCTGATGTTACTGGCTTGAAAGACAGTCCCTTCTATGGAAGAACCTCTTAGGAACAGATGATGTTCCTTTGCCGACGCACCCACGGACAGCTTTGGACACTACAGACATGCAATTGTTGGTATTATAGGACTTTATAATTACATACAGTCATCCTCAGATGTATTCAAATCCTCCCATTAACGAAGGGAAAAGAAAAGCTGTCATTGAAATAAGTTTAAATTGACAAAAATAAATAAAAATGTAATGAAAATCATGACATTGCTTTTGAATTGTGGTTAAACAGAATTTTTTTTTTCTTTTAAGCAAGCAAGTATGATGAGATTCGTAAACTAATATTTAGTTGAACAACCCTTTGAGCCAATCAAGTGTTTTCTGTAACTCTCAGTCAGACTTGTTGACAGGTGTCTTGATTTCACTGCTCATCAGCAAAGTGCTCGTAATTTGTCTGGGACAGTTTTTTTTTTTTTTTTTTTTTTTTATTCTTTTCAACCACAATTCAAAAGCAATGTCTTATTTCACTAAATTATAATTTAGCAAATTTTTGTTTATTATTACTTTTTTCAGTTTCTACTTATTTGAGTGACTTGTGGATTTTATCTTTTCTTTAACGGAACGGGATGAATACATTTGAGGACGACTGTAGATCGGGACGTGTTTCATGCTTGCAAACTGCTGCCATCGTTGTGCATTCACCTTACGGAAACTAATAAAGTATTTTTCTATTCTGAAAGAATAACATTGCCCTCCCGGCTGCACAGTTGAGGTTTCTCTTTCATGGGAATTTGCTGATGTTGCAGGTGTTTCTCACTGGTATGGTTTCTTTCATGTGTGCAACAGATTGTGTTCCATCAGAAGAGGCTGCATGAGGCGCTTCTTGACGTTTCTACAGTGGTAGGGTTTCTTTATTGTGTAAATCCATTTGGGATGCATGTTCTAGTTGAATGGCTGCTTCAACCGCATTGATGCATTGATGCACCTACAGCAGGATGCAAATCTTCAAGAAGCATTGCTGTCAGAAGGCACTGTGGAAAGAAGCTTCACTGGTGTGGACATGTTAGTTTGCTTGAAAGGGGAATTCTGCAGCGAAACTTCTCCAGCTTGTGTCTACATTATGCTGTGTTGTTAAGCTTCTTCTCTGTGTGAGGTGTTTCTATACCGAGGTAGTAGTGGGAACACTAGATCAGAGGAGACCACCGGATGGTCTGAAGCACACAGTTTTTCCTCAATCAAATCAACAGTTCAGTGATATCGACCTCCTGGAACAGAAAACAAGAGAGGAGAATAATGCTAGTTTATCTCAAGGCTGCATTCTTTGGAAGCTGAAACCCGTTTGTTTAAAGGATCGGTCGTCGGTTCACAACACGTTTTGCGCCGAGTTAAAACGAGAGACTCAAATGTTCAGCTCAAGTGTTGATGAGAAAGACACAATGAGCAGAACTCCACGATTCAAAGCACAAATTAAAAAATACTTTCAACCACTTGTAACTGATAATGTGAGCGCTCGGCGGGAGACTGAATCTGGGAGGTGAGGAGTCACGGCTGAAAAAATAAATTATGGAAAATAAATTATGCCCACTTTGTGCTTCTATACAAACTGCGAGCCTTGGACGCTGAGCTTTTTTTTATTCGATATTTCTTTTGACTAATTTTGCGGCCTCTAAAATTTTTAAGTTCACCTTGATGGTTATTTACAACAATCTGAAACATAGTGTGGATCTATTCATCTGCGACATGTATGACAGGATTGAGTCTGATGAAAGAGAACATGTCAGTCGGGTGATAGAAAAAAAAACTACATATTTAGAATTGTACCACTCCCTACCCGTCCATTATCTTGGAATGAGAGGCGCTCATGTCTTTGCCGCAGCCTCACATGCACAGAGATACAGTTTTTATTTACATCTAGCGAGAAATTAGGAGATAGTAGGAATAGGAAAAGACAGGAGTGGGTTTGGAAAGTGTTTATTTGACAGGAAAAGTGGGACAGAGGGTGAAGCTTCTGTGCGTATTTACAGGTGAATGTTTCCCATAGCAGCATAAAATAGATAATATATTGATAAAGTGCATTTTCCTTGTTTTTCTCTCAGTTTCTCTTAATTACTTTTCTCTCAGCAAACATAAAGGTAATATTCTGTGCTAAACTACTTTCTTGGACCCTTTCACATTCAAACTTCTCTTCTCCTTTGCAGAGATCCACCACGTCCCTCCTTTCGTCACAGTTCACCACGTCTTCCTTCCTTCTCACAGCTGCTTGCTGAGTTTTCTCGCCTGCCTCTCTCTGGCTTCGAAGGCAGCTTTGGTATCCAGGAGCTCGTCCAGCTGCCGGCGGATGCGCGCCATGTCGAGCTGGGCGGCCTCGCACTGCTCCCTCAGCGACGCCGACTCCACCCGGAGCTGCGTGGCGGCCATGGACAGCTGCTCGCCGCGCTCGCGACACTGCGTCTGCATCCGCTTGGCGTCGGTCAGGAGCGACTCCACGCTCACGACCACCGAGTCGCACTGGTCGTGAGACATTTCCTGGTCGGAGGGTAGAGGTCAAGAGGTCACGCCGCAAGCTACGATGAGTGTCTGAAGCACGTTTAAGCAGACGGATGATTGAAACTAAAGACCGTTAAAGCATCCAGTTGAAGGGCTCTTCCTGATTCAAATTTGAGATTTAAGGACTCTACTCTGCTCGCTGTAGTTTTTGTCTGATTTGGCAGTAAACTAGAGCCCTCCTGCCAAAAAAGCAGATGAAGTGAATCAATAGCTGGCTGACAGAAGTCCAACACAGATCAACAGGTTTAAAACAGAACATTTGATCTGTGGAGAGTGAAGTAGCTTAAAGAGGCTTATCATGGCTTAGCTCAGTCTACACTGTCCACTGCTCTCCTCTCCGTTTCTCTTTTATCCTTATCCTAACACCAATCTCTCTATTTCTGATGCTTTTTTTTTTACAAAAACAAACTCTTTACACCGATTTAAAACCACACATTTTTCTAACCGGCACCTAAAAAGCAACGTGTGATGAAGCCTCACCATCGCCTCCAGAGTCAGGTTTATCTCGAGCCTTGTCGTCTTCTTCCGACACTCGACTTTGAGGCCGTTCTCCAGAGTGCGCTCCCCTTCGCCGTCCTTTACAGATCTGCTTTGTGAATTTAAAAAAAACGAGTGTCCTCCTTTATTCCTCTCAGTTCCCCGTCTCCATGCGAGTCCCTCTCTCCAGCCTCGGCGCTGCTTCCTTTCTCTCTTCACTGAGGATTATTTTCTGCCTCGGGGCTCAACTAAGGTCAGATAATCCACAGAGATTAGACAGTGAAGGAAGGAGAGGTGTTGTGTTGTGCAGCTGGAGTAAGCTCATTGGGTCTATTTTAATCTGGCAGGTAACTGGTCGGCAGCTGATTGAGTCACAAATGCCGATTCAGGTCAACTGCTGATTTAGACGTCGACATTTCTGACGCGTTTTTGCACCCGAATCTTAATGAATGATTATTTTGGTTTATGTAAAGAACGTAGGAAAGATCTAAAGAAGTGTCATGAAACTATAGTAAAGGAGAAAAACGGTTTTATTGGGAATAGTAAAATGCAGAATGTGTGAGCACAGAGAGCAAGAGAGAAGCTAACAGATGAGGTTGCGCGAAGCACAAACGGCAACTTGAACATTTTAACCCACAAAGTCACTGGTTTCACATTAGTGCCTGTAACAGTAGCCCTATTAACCACACAAGGATTCTCCTGTTGCTGTGGTGACATTGCCATCAATAATAAAAGTAACCCATTGGATCTTCAGTTCTTCAGATGCTGGGGGTGCATGAAGGCTCTTGTGTTCACTCTTACAGTCAGCAGCAGAACATTTGGTGTGCTTTTAGAGTTAGTAGAAACAGCTTGAGAACATAAATAAACACTGGTGAATGGTTGACTTTGGAAGCAGTTTGCATCGAGAAGTCCAGATAATACAGATTTTTAGTTTGACGGCTATCGGCTCATCAGTTTCTACAGAGGAAGTGAATCAAATTCTTACTGCCTGGTGAAGCTGGTAGACCAGTAATCAGTGTCTTCATGTTGTCATAGCATTTATTTTACACCTCCAAGTTTTCCAGGAGTACAGAATACAATAGAAATTATTTCTCACTGCATAGGACCTTTAACCCTCCTACTATCTTTGTTTAACATCTCTAAATAAGTCATTGACATCATTTTGTCAGTTTTATTTAAAGGGCTATTTACACATAAACTTGGGTAACAATTTTAATTCTGATTTTTTCTGGAGGTTTAGGTTTCTGGGGTCAAATTGAAGCCCAGGATAAAAGATGTCAGTAAATTTGAAGGTAACAGGAGGGTTAAAGGACCACTGTGGGATTTTTGATGTTTGTAGGAAACAAATTACCGCAAATATTTTTCTATTTCTGTCCTCAGACAACAAAAGGAGTATGAAATAGTGACTGAAATGCAACCAATTAAGACTACATGCTAACCAACAGTCACTTCAGACCCATTTTCAAGCAATAAACTACATATTTTATAACCGTGACATCATCTGACAAACTCACTAAACACTAAAAACAACGGCTGAATTCAGTGATATTTCAATTTAAAATGATCATTCAGAGACACAGAAGGTCTCACATTCTCAATCACAGATGCAGAGAGAGTCTTCTTCCTGAAGGGGGTGGTGCTACAGAGACTGAAACATCCAATGTGCAACAGGGCTGAAAGTCGGCGTAATGAAGTTTTATTTTGAGCTGAAAGAGACCCTCTGGAGACATGTGAGGCTTTCATTTACTACTTTAAATGCACTTCTTTGGTTTGTTTTGGCACGGTGGAACGGTGGTTTGTTATGTTGCCTTAAAGAAAGAAGGTTCTGGGTTTTGATCATGCTGCTCAGCTGGAGGTTTTGTGTGTGTGGACGTCCTCCTGGCTTCCTCCCACGGTCCAGAGACAAGCATGGCCGGTTAATCAGTGACTCCAAACAGGACGCAGGTGTGACTGTGCACGGCTGCCTGTCTGTTTGTGTTACAACTGATTAAGGATGAAATGGAGTAAAATGTTGTAATGAAGCTAAAATAAATGTGATGCGGAATAAAGACAGGTCATTCTTTATGTTGCAATCACAAACATTGGCTTAAAAAAAAAGGGACTCAAGGAACCACAGCTTTATTAAAATGAAGAAATATAGCAAGAAAACAATGAGGAAGTTTATCACTCTGGAAATATGGAGCATCAGACAACATGCAGCTTTATCCCAATGCCTATGAAAGCCTTTTAAATTTAACCCCTAAAAACACTCTGAATGTTGATGCGGTCGAAGTGTTTGCTATGAGCCAGCAGAGGGAGACATTGTTCAACATTTTCAGAGCTCCTGTTCCTCTGACAAACAGTTTAGGCTTAACTAGCTGAATAACAATTAATCATAAATAAAGGCAAAACACCAAATGAAATCATGTGACTGTGAGCTGCTGAGGCCCGTGTAGCCTTGACAGCAATAATGTACATGATTTGTCAAAGGGGTAAAAATCTGTTTTATTTCAGAAACATCTGCCAGTGACATCAAAAGAACATCTGAGCACAGTTGAAATACAAAAAGAATGCCTGCAATAAACACGATCCCACTGGTCGGTTGTGTCAAAAAAACAAAACAGGCACTTTCAGAATGAACAAATTCACATTTCTGTGCGATCCACGGACATGTTTGGTAAATGAGACGTGGGAAACCGGTGAACGCACAAGTCAGCGCTTGAATCTTTGGATTGTGCGGATTCAGACGAGCCCCGGCAGACACACACAGCGCAGCGTCTGCAGCGGTGTTGGTTTTATTGATCTGCGTGTGCCAGACGAGGTGGCCGAGTGGTTAAGGCGATGGACTGCTAATCCATTGTGCTCTGCACGCGTGGGTTCGAATCCCATCCTCGTCGGTAACAAAACTTTCTATTGGTTGTAGTAGCTGTGAAACACAAACACAAACTCACTGTGATTTCTTTGACATAGTGTCTAAAAACCTGAAATACCAGACGGTGTGTTCACCCGTTTCCCACATCTGCTCCCACCAGTCATCTTAGTTAATGTACTGCTCTGTGTTTTTGCTCTCTCTCCTCACTGTGGCCTCGCAGGACGGTTGAAAAACGGCTCCGTCTCTGCGGCCGTCACCCCCGGATCAGCGAAAAGCCCCCCGGCCGGCCCTCCGTAGCCTCCAGCGATCAGCTTGGCCCCCGAGCCCTGACGCCTCTGAACGATCACCAGAGCCCCGATGGTGAGCCAGAAGAAGAAGTTGACCCACGCCGCCGTCTGAGAGGGAGGAAAATGACCAGATGTACAGGAGGCTGCTTCATCTGAACCCAAACCCTCTACATGTTGTAAGTCAACAAAACTACTCATCCGCTTTAGAAGTTTTCCAACATTACTGCTTTTGAAGTTTGAATCATAGTAAATATATATTTTGGCAGTTTTTTTTGACAAGACAACCTTCTCATGCCAAAGTGAAAACAGATTTCTACAAAGTTATGTCAATAATTTTGAATTCTAAAACGTTAAATAAGTGATTACACAAATATTCACCCAGATTTAATATCTGCACTTTTGGCTGCAGTGTCAGCCTTGAGCCTCCTGTGGATGGATCTCAATTATCGTTGCACATGTTGAAACTATAACAGGATTTTAGTCCAATCTTACAAGAAGGCCTCGAGGCGTTCCCTCGTTATGATGCTGCCACCGCCGTGCTTCACTGTGGGGACGCTGAGAACATTTGCTCTGCTCACTTAAATTCTATAAATACATCCGTCATTCCAAGCTCTACGTATTATACCTGTGTGGTCCATCTGGACATAAAATGAAATGAAGTACTGACCTCAGCTTTTTGGAGACTGTTGTAGAACCTTCCACCTTTAATGGGGCTGACCCATTTTCTAGTCTGGGCATCTTCACAGCTTGAGACACAAAAACAGACTGCATGTTAGATAGAAAACACATCAGATGATGCTTTAGCTACTTTTTTGGGTTCATCTAAGATCCTAAAGTTCTATAAAAACTGTCATAAAATTTAACATGTATGTGCTTCTCTTAACATCCAACCCTTAAAAGGAATTTTTGCCTTTTAAGTTCATCTGAAACCTTCTAGTTTCTGAAGTTGTGCTTGTTTAGCGTGATGCTAACGTGAGCTCAGCTGCATTGTGAGGAATCCAACCATGTGTTGCACGTCTGTATTGACAAAGGTTTAAACACTGAATCTTTATGCACCGACTCCGCTGGTTTGAACTCGTTTAAGCTGCTCTCCAGCGTTCTGGTGGCGGCTTAAAGATCAAATTTAACTTCACTGACATTCAGTCTGTGAACAAATAAGCAACTGCATCTCATTTCTCAGACCGTGAACAGTCGCAAGCCGCAGTTACGTAAACAACATCAAGGTTGGTGGAGCTCAGAACAAGCAATTAAAAGCTAACGACATTATACAGGCCTTTGCTTCTCTTTTAAGTGCTGACCCTCTCAATGCATCATGATGCAGGATGAGTCATTAAAGATGAGAAACTGTCGTCGCTTCTGTTTTTCCAGATAAAACTGTGCTGACAACATTTTGTAAAAAGAAAGAGGCGTCTCAAAAGAAGAAGTGCAACATGACCACAGGCCCCAAATTAAACTTACCTACTTTCATCTACAGAGCTTTCACTGGTCGTGCAACTGAGTGTTTTAAATAGTGGTAAATGAGGTGAATACAAATTTGTGTAGCAAAAAGACACAAAGAGGAGAAATCAGAGAGCAAGCCAACACAAAGCAACGCTCGCTGGGTTTCACATGTTGTTTTCACTTTCATGTCGGACTTGTTTGTGAGGGTTTTGTGTTTGCACGTCTGTACTTGTGCGTCTGCTTCCAGCCACACCTGGTGATGTTGGGGACGGTCTGCATGACCGAGTTGCAGAGCGAGTCGCGTCCGATCTTCAGCATGCAGCCCGAGATGAGCAGGAAGAACAGGAAGACGCCGCACACGGCCACGATCAGGTTCATCCACATGCGCTCCCTGTGGAGAACAGAAACAACAGAGAGGCAGCGTGAGAGGGGCGACGGTCTGTGTTGATGTGAAGGGAAAAATGAAAACCTCTGACCAACCGAGGACATGATGTGAAACTACAGAACGTAACATGTGACTGTGCTAACATGGCATGACCTGTGTCCTGTTTTTGATCATCTAGTAATTTGTACTTCATGTTTCTGTCCTCACAGGTCGAGAGCCTGAACTGATAAATGACTAAAAGCAAATGAAACAGTCCAGATAAAAAAAGAGTTTCATTACTCTGGTTGGAAAGTCCCCTGATGCTGCTTCCTCGTATCAAATCACAGTACAACTGAATTCCATCATTAAGAAACAGAAGAAATATGGAATGGATGCTCTCAAAAGCTGAATGATGATGCAAGAAAGACGTCAGTGAGGGAGGTCACCAAGACACCTATGAAGGAGTTACAAGCTTCAGTGGCTGAGATCAGACAGACTTCAGACCACAACTGTTCTTCAACAGTAAAAACTTAATGGAAGAGCAGCAAAGAAAGAGACACTGTTGAAAAAAGCTTCTATTTAATCTCAAGAAAGTTTGATAGAAGGTACGTGGCACATTTTGAAATCAGCTGGAGGAAGGTTCTTTGGTCTGATGACTTCATTTTTTCTGGCTGTCAGAC